GAACGGCAACGGTGAAGAAAGCGTCCTTACCCCTAAAATTGATATCAAAAGTCTAATCGTTAATTGACAACGTTAACAGCATTACTCCATGGAATAACTTTGTGTACATGTATTTAATTTAAGTAAAATTTTCGCAGTTTACCTTGATTACACGATTGTTTATCAATAAAAGAACTAATTGTTTATGGAATTACACTATTTTCGCGGTTTTAAAAGTAAGGCCAAAGAGCTTACCGTTTGACGAAGTCTCTTTCGACTACTGAGGCATGGGGGTTCTGGGCTAAAGAAAATATGTAAAAATAAATCAAGTGTTACAGGGTAATGAAATCAAGTATTCACTAAACATTCCAACAGAGAGGAATATAAAACAAAATTTACAATTTCTCCTGGTTTCCAACCACTGGTCAGTTAGTCTACCCATTAAAAACTGGATTGAAAAATTTTTTTCTTGCAGGCACAACTTTTTTTTAACAGTCGTAGCTCCGTATCTACTATAAATTGGGTAATTAAATTGTATCCGCTGTTTGGTCTCAATTAATGTTCACGTCCGAACAGGTTTGAAGAACAGAGAGTATACATTTTAATAGGTTTCTCAGTTTCTAAAAATACAACTTGTTATTCGCTACCTTAGATTACTTGTTATATTCTGATTTGTCCAATAGCAGAAAGCCATATATCTTGAAATAGTATGGTCACGCTTTCTTTCTTGGGAGATTTATTTGCGTCACGTAGATGAAGCAGAGAGCGGGGATATTTACAGTACTCATAAGTTAGTGTATTTTTTAGAGCACAGGCGTCCTAAGCTCACCTTACGAGTGTGGAATGTACTTATGTTGTTAACGAACACTCTTTTGAGTTTGGTAAGATCGTTTCTATAAAATAAAAAAACCCACACATTTGTATAACGTAATCAGCACTGATTAATAGGCACGGCAGACTGCACAAAACCGAGAACCAATTTAATGGTTTATAACTCGGTCGGATATCATTCTGTTTCTTGTATCTTTTTGTTTACCATATCTTCAGCTTTATATAAAACAAAGCAACAAAACGTACGTATAAAAAGCGTCGCTCCTTTAGCGTCATGGCAAAATCTTCTTATTTTTCAATCATACTGGTACATGACATTCTAGAGTGACCAACCGATCGAAACAGTTGACAGACTTGGCACATGTTGTTGTCAGTTTCCCTTAGGGGCAAATTGATCGTAAGTGTTATTTTAAACAATGTAAATTCATCATTTGCTTCACTCGATTTCGCCTGTCTAGAACTTCTATTGTTGATTTCCACTGGTTTTCTCTATACTTTCACTATATGGTGAGGATGTTAGTTAAAAAAATGCGCTGAAATTTAAGGAAATTGATTTGACAACTGTGAACTGAAGGACTGTTATAGTGTTTACCGCTAGAAAGCAACAGGAGCCGTTAAATTAAATCTAATCATTTTTGAAAATGCATCTAAGGAATGAGAAAGTATCTGACAGATCATACAGAGAGGCATTTCAGCATTAATTTTTAATTGACATAAAATTAAACTTCTGGGGTTTTACGGTGGTGACTTGAAAGATATAAATGATGTGTAAGGTGTCTTCTGCCAATTCACTCAGGGTTATGCAAATTTCTTGGAAGAAAGGAAACTTTTTTACAAGAGGAAAGACTTCAATCCCACATGCCACCTTTTTAATTTTTTTTGTACACCAATGTGTCCGCCATGACGTCATATGAAAACGCTCTATGGTTTAAATATAGCTCACTTCCTGTTAACTGCACGAAATAGATTTAAAATTAAATCAACAAATGAAAATTATGATTCAGGCATAGGAGTATGTACGAAGTAAGATCAACATTTTCTTTCGCCGTTGTCTTGTTTTGTGTTTTAAGATTATTTCTCAATGCTCTTGTTACAGATCTACACCACACATACAGAGTTTGCGCTGCCCAAACTCACATATTCAGTGAATATTGCTTTGTCATAGTTCGGTTGAGGTCAAAACGTAGCGAATAATGCATTTAGTCTATAGATGACAACGCTACGAGGCAGCTCATCAGGAAAGTAATAGACCTTTTTAGATACTGATAAATGAAGATGATGATTTGAATCGAGGAAGTACAAAAACCTAAATGCAGATATGATCGTCGCAGTTAATAAAGTTAAGTTGAAAATGTTTTAATTCAGTTGCTATTACAACTGCGACGACCCAGGATAATGTGGATTTTAGTAATTTCAAGGAGCTATGCAACAATTGTTTGGGACTCTAGGCTCAAATAATGCATAACCTTTGATAGCCGGCCTTCAGACTCGTACCCAGTCGCCATTTACGTGTTTTTTGGGGTGAGAGAAGATTTGATATTAGGTTGAGGCGCGCGCAGGGGATGAGACCCCACGATACCTTTAGTTAGATTGTTGTCCTGTCGAAAGGTAACAGAAAAAAAACCACAACAATTTTGCTTTGTTTTCCCCCTGAATGAATTAAGTATGAGAAAAGATGATTTGTGATACTTAGTTTTAATATCACCTCACTGCAATTGACCCGATAAAATTCTGGTGGTGACGTAATGGAATAATGACCAGGTGGACGAATTAGGAGAGTTGAAGAAAAAGGCAGTACATAATCCCACGAAAGGCACAGTTTTGTTAACAGTCAATGGGAAAATGAATGAGGCAAGTATGAACCAAAATAACAGAGGATTTTTCTGGACTTTATTCTTTAGCTGACACATACTCGAAAACAACCGTTGCTTTAGAAACCTCATTACATCATAACACAAGTCTAACATCCACATGATCCAGATGATCACATGACACGTGCTTACTGCTGAGCTTTCGGTACTTCCTCAATAAAGATACAATTCCTTGAACGCCAACCAGTGTAGGTGTCAGCAAGCTTATAGCCTGTGACGCACTTTCCAGCGAATCACCATGTGAGTTAGTAGGCCATAAAGCACCTCAAAGCGAGGCAAATGTGTGTCGACACAAACTAATGATCTTCGCTTATTAGTTGCACAGGACACCCAATAATGCACGGAACGCCCAACAGAAATTAGGGGCTGCGTTCTCGTGCCTCGAACACAAATACTTCTTCATTCATCGTCAATTCATCATTTAATTGCAATGGAACCTCAAGCTACGCGATGGTCTATTACACCTTTGTCTGCAAAGGCCGATAAAATAACCAATCTTTCTATACTGTATTTGTTTTCATTCCGATGACCATGACTTCTTACACCTTTATTTGCGAAGGCCGATAAAATAACCAATTTTTCTATACTGTATTTGTTTTCATTCCGATGACCACGACTTCTTCCATGATGCCGGCCGTTACTTACGTTCCGTTAGTTCGGAGGTGGCTGAGGAGACTAATCAGAGCACGAAAGTGTCTGCACAAGTGAAGCACATGATGTCAGCAGAGGTCGATGAGGTGCTGCATGACTAAGCGGGATTTACGCATTAGACGTTTTCCCTTCGTACGCTTTTTATCTGCTGGCTCAGCACCCCCGCTGATGAGGCTGCGCCACTTTAATCTGTCTTGAGTCAGTTCTGTCCATTTCAACTGAGACCAGCTAAGTAATTAGGAGAGTATAAGTGATCAAGTGACAGTCATGTAGGTCGGATTTCAGTACTCAAGGTGTTTAATACGTCGGTCAAAGGTGAGTTCGGGGCATATGAATGATTGGCAATATCCTCGCTAGGAAATCTAGTACAAAAGGAATTTTTCCCCAAAAGTAAATCGTGAGGTTTTCTTGTGCCTTGACGCTCACGTGACATGTCACGTGTCCAAAAATTGAAAATGAAGGAAATTGGCGAATTAATTGGTGGCGAATTTACTTTGTTTGGGTAAACAAATTAAAAGAGGATAAACATATCTAACTTTGTACGTTTGGAATGAATGTGCGCGAAGTTTAAAATTTAAGCTTTACACAATTCTAGATTTAATTTGGCCATTTAAAATGATGTTTTCCCTCATAATTTGTTATTGAAGAGCCGGGGTGAATGAACGGTCATTGCAAAGGTGAGGTGTTAGAAATCTTTGACTGTATGAATTAGAAAAATGTTATCGCTCGATTTCTTTTTTTAAACCGGCCACCAACTGGTCAATAAATTCACTAATTTGATGTCTTTAAGATCTAAGTCAATTGTGGGAGTGAGGTCTTTGGTAAATTGGGGTCACAGTTGAAGCGTATGAGAAAATACGTTGAACGGCAAAACACTGGATTATTTGTTTTTAATCAGTATCTTCAGAGAAAAAAAAAAGGAATCTTACATAATATGTACGTAATATGGAAACATTGAATTAAATACTAAGTTACGCTTTCCGAGGTTGTACTCCTTATCGGTAGTTGATTTCGCAGTTTTTGCGAGACAGTATTTCCCGGGGTATTATTTTCGCGATTTTAACAAGTGCAAAACAGGAAAAAACGGCATTAAATTTCGCGATTTAAGCGTTCTCAACTTCATTTACTTCTTTTAAAAAGTCTGAACGTTGAAAAAAAATCGATAAACTAAAACAAGCCATGCGTGAAATCTTTGCAAGCTAAAGTCATTTCACAACGGAAGATATAAAATGGAGCTTACCAGTAGAACCAGAAAGCGATTTGTGTTTGTCGACACATATCGTTGCTATTACATGTTGATTGTTATTTGAATTTTCCACATGGGTATTNCCATGCGTGAAATCTTTGCAAGCTAAAGTCATTTCACAACGGAAGATATAAAATGGAGCTTACCAGTAGAACCAGAAAGCGATTTGTGTTTGTCGACACATATCGTTGCTATTACATGTTGATTGTTATTTGAATTTTCCACATGGGTATTAAATTTTGCAAGGATTTATTTTCGCAGGTCTTTAATTTCGCGGTTTTTTACAATCGCGAAAAACGCGAAGTTAAAGACCAATAAGGTACTAGATAATCCTTTTTGCTCCTAGTGCTAATTATTGAGACATCTGTTACTTGAGTCCGTCTATCAAATACTTTGTGTAACTATTCGAATGAACCTTTGCGCTTTCAAGCATTTATTTTGCATAGACCAAGCTGTATAACTACACTAGACGTACTCCATTCCTTTTGAATAAAAATGCATTTTTTTTTCCATTGAAGATAAAAAAAATAAATATTATTTATTCCTGATGCGCTGCTAGGTGAATTCCCTGTCTTCGCCCAGCGAAAACAGCTACTTCATGGCTACCTGTCCTTCCAGGGTAAATTTTCAAAACATTTCTTTGTGTTGCCTTGTAAAGCACTGATTCGAAGATACGAGTTAGCAAAATCCCGAGCAGTGATGACAGTTTTGGCTTCAAACTGCAGCTCCGTGACTCCAACCCAACCGTCCTGTTATAAAATTAAAACAAAAAACAAAGTAATAAAAAACCTAGTAATGATTAGCCTCCTAAGCAGATCCTAGCATCGCTTAGTTGGAGAACGTGGCTAGGCGCTACGGTTCAACGATATAATTTATGGTCTTCGAGAACACAATACTGGGCTGTCATCATTTTTGAGACTTGTGATGAGATCGACGATGCGCAACAAGAAGGAACAAAGCGCGAAACACGTTAGTGATAACGCTCCGCATTTGCATGCCAGAGAGTCACATTTGCTAGCTCGTTTCGCTGGTTATTCGTGTGCTTTATTATGAATACGATTTTATGGCCATGAGCAGCCTATTTTGTTGCGTTTAATCGATAATCTCTACCTGGCATCTAATGAAGAGGATATCGCGATCTCTATCAAATTTCACTTCTCCTGGGAGTGTGGAAAGCTTCTCTTCAGGTGTGACTACAGAAAAAAGGAGCACATGTATGCCATCAAACTCAATACATACGGCGCCTCTGTGACTGCCATCAGTCTATAAAAGGTTAAGTTAAGAGTTATCATTTTCGCTGGGCTGACCATAACCTACTGCTTGGTAGCAATTCAGAGAGCTTCAGAGCGTGGCCTCCTTCGCCTTCATATTTTTTTGTTGCAGTTTCACCGCTCAGCTTCGTGATTCCATGACAAAAATAATGGCATTGCGCAAAAAAGTGTGTCATGGGGCGAAAATCACCCTTTCAGTGTGGGGGGAGGTTTCTGACCAATAGCACATACCAGCTATTCTAGACTACAAATCTCCTTAGACACCCTGAATTGTTTATTTCCCAGCAACACTTTCACCTTCCTTCCAAGGACATATTATTTTTTCCAATCTCCCAGCCAGCAAAAATTTGCCTGAAGAACAGATATTTTGAGGAACAGATCCATTGGGTGGCCCTGAAGTCTAGTCTCGAAACCAGTCAGCGCATTGCCATAGGAAAGTGGTTCAATGTTCAGTGGTTGAATGTTGTTACTCACGACTAACGAAATCCTTGGACATGTTAATCAGCTTGACTTTCTTTCCTTCCCAGCTGGTCTGAACTCCAACCTAATAAATATCAAGAATAATGAGATAGAATAAATACATTCACATTCATATGTGAACAGAAAGTGCGGAAAAATTGTCGTATAACTTACTCTGGAAGAAAGTGCATTCCATCGTCTTCGGATGTAAGACCAAGTGTGGTATGTCCAGTCAATATAACCAACCTCTTTAGTCAAGCGGCGAGCTGGGAGAAAAAGTAAAAAAAATACATGTAACTAAATAAATAAATAAAGAAATACACGAACAAATCAATCAATCAATCAATCAATCAATCAAAATCTCCCATCAAAATGACCGTCTTTTTAATAGGAAGACTTGTCCGCCTTACAATAGATAGCCTGCGCAAGACTTGCGCAGCAGGCGCTAGGAAGTAATTGGGCGCAGGAAAGAACGGGCGCGCGCGAGGGAGACGCGCGCGTTTTTTCTTGCGCCCATTTATACAACAGAGNCAGCTATTCTAGACTACAAATCTCCTTAGACACCCTGAATTGTTTATTTCCCAGCAACACTTTCACCTTCCTTCCAAGGACATATTATTTTTTCCAATCTCCCAGCCAGCAAAAATTTGCCTGAAGAACAGATATTTTGAGGAACAGATCCATTGGGTGGCCCTGAAGTCTAGTCTCGAAACCAGTCAGCGCATTGCCATAGGAAAGTGGTTCAATGTTCAGTGGTTGAATGTTGTTACTCACGACTAACGAAATCCTTGGACATGTTAATCAGCTTGACTTTCTTTCCTTCCCAGCTGGTCTGAACTCCAACCTAATAAATATCAAGAATAATGAGATAGAATAAATACATTCACATTCATATGTGAACAGAAAGTGCGGAAAAATTGTCGTATAACTTACTCTGGAAGAAAGTGCATTCCATCGTCTTCGGATGTAAGACCAAGTGTGGTATGTCCAGTCAATATAACCAACCTCTTTAGTCAAGCGGCGAGCTGGGAGAAAAAGTAAAAAAAATACATGTAACTAAATAAATAAATAAAGAAATACACGAACAAATCAATCAATCAATCAATCAATCAATCAAAATCTCCCATCAAAATGACCGTCTTTTTAATAGGAAGACTTGTCCGCCTTACAATAGATAGCCTGCGCAAGACTTGCGCAGCAGGCGCTAGGAAGTAATTGGGCGCAGGAAAGAACGGGCGCGCGCGAGGGAGACGCGCGCGTTTTTTCTTGCGCCCATTTATACAACAGAGGGAGTCAAAAGAGATGCTAAGTAACCACGTCGGCGGTGGCACTACGGATAAAGTGAACAGGTGATGTTAAAACGGTGCGTTAAAAGTTGATGCCGTATAACATGGATGCGCGGACGATTTTCTCATACTCTTTCAGCTAAATCATGCTGCTAGAATTTCAAAGAAACTTACCCCAACTAGTTTTGATTTGCGGATTTGGCTGTACTGGATCTTTCCGTAATTCCTCCAGATTTTCAAGAGCATACATCAACTAAAAAGATGGCATTAGGTCAGTTTTTAAAAGAGTACAGAGAAAAAAGCGCTCATAGGCCATTCCATGCCTTGATGAAATGACGACCGATTCATCGTCTGATATAAAAAAATATATATTGTGATTTGCGACTTAGCATTTATAGGAATTTCTTGATGTAGGTTAAGTTATCCTCGGTAACCCAGTTACCCTTGGTGCCAGAGACTTTTCATGAGCGGTTTCCGGTTCAAGTCTGTATTGTGACCAGCGTGATTTTTCTCGCGGATTCGCCGCTTGTCACTTGGGGCCTCCGGCCGAAGCATCCAACCCGCAGGAAAAATTTGCAAAATTTAATACCCATGTGGAAAATTCAAATAACAATCAACATGTAATAGCAACGATATGTGTCGACAAACACAAATCGCTTTCTGGTTCTACTGGTAAGCTCCATTTTATATCTTCCGTTGTGAAATGACTTTAGCTGTAGGTTTGCTAAAACTATTGGTAAACACTGTATCTCTTACAAACACATTAAAATGAGGTACACAAACATTTCAAGTAAATTTTTGGCGAGAAATCAAGCTACTGTAGTTTTTGGCAATATTTATTTGAAAAATTCAACAAGTTGTAATCTGTTTCCTCAACAACATCATATGTGGGCAAACGCGACAATGGAAAATCCAGTTCTCACTGTTAGAAAGCTGCCTACATGTATTCACAGAGCGTCCTCATATTATCTTTCAAAACATACAAACCATTTTAGTACCAAGGATTGCAAGCTGATCGGAGAGCTCGTCATACATGATGTCGTCTGGTATCTATAAAAAAAAAAAAATCAGAACAATTTGTCGGTTTACAAACTTCTAAAACATTAGCCAGTGTAGCAAGCGTCTCCGCGCTAGTTCGTCGAGAGAGTTGGAAGGAAATCGAAAAACTTTCGAGCAATAACTAATATATAATTTATTGATCAGTTTACCACCAAAAGTTGCAGGGCAGCCCGGATAGAAAGCCATGGGGCTTATTACTTCAGACTACCCATTTACAAATAAATGCAAAGTTTCATTTAAGTATGATAGATGACAAGAATAAGCTAAGTACAAGTAATAAGGCTAAGAGGTATAATTCTAAATAAAAAATATCAAATCAATTTAGGGTATCTAATAATCTAATTAATTTGAATCAATAATTAATAGCTCTAAGAAAAAAAAAAACATTCTAGTTAACAGTCTAAAAATTAAGCAGGACAAGAGAACAAAACTCGAAAATTTGAGCTATGCAGGCTAAAAAAACATTCACTAGTTAGCAATATTTTGATAGATAGATAAAGGTCTCCAAACCTTGTACTTCTCCTGAAGCAAATTTTGTCCAGCATCAAATCTAATGATCAAAATGAAATGGTTGTCTAAAATTGAAATACCCTTAGGCTAGCTAATTCAAATAACATTCTTACTTTTGGTACATTTTTGGGGTTTAATGTATTGAAACCTGGAAGGATTGCAAAGGTGAGTTAAACAACAAGGCATATGAAAAATATTAATTGATCATCATCATCATCATCATAATTATATCAACATTACTATCATCATCATTGTCATCGCCATCATCATCATAACTATTATTAAAAACGTTATCATCACCATAATGTCAATCAGTTAATCAATCAATCGATCAAAAACTTTATTAACCTGTCAAAGTAGCTAGCCAAGGGTAATACCCCTCTACTAATAATTGGGGACACTTAACAATATAATTAAGAGAACCTATTAACTAATAAATGATCAGCCAAGCGTGGTCATTGCACGCGTGCTGAACAAGAATGCTGTATAATGACAGACAAGAAACAATAGACAACTCCCAAAGCACAAACTCAGCCAAAACGCTAAAAATCTTCAATGTTTACTCAAGTTTGGGCTTATAGAAGATAATGTCACAGTTTTTCAATGACCATGAGATTCAGAGTCCGGGTAGTTAGTTAATCAATAGTGGCCCTGAAAAAATTTGAAGGAAAAAAAACTACGAATTTTTAAGAAAATGCTTTTTTCGTGAGAAGGACTCTTAAACGCTGACAAACGTCAACAAATAGCGAAAACTATAATTTCTATATGTTTGCTTTGCTCGAAATCGCGCGCATTTACAAGGCCCTAAAGCGTTTTGCTGACTTGCAAGGACCCATCTGTTATAACGATGCCCAAAATAAAGAGATGAATCTCATAGTTTATTAGATATAATCCGTGTAAAGTTTGCTTATCATTTTCGCATAAATTATGACCTAAATTTGGAAACCGCTGAATTTCTCGAATTGGGTCTTTGCGATTTTGGTGAAACTCTGTTCAGCGTAAGGCACTAATGCGCACTATGTGTAGCCGAGAGATTTTCACGAAAAAATGCCGGCAACTGCAGATTTTCGACTCAGACAGGTCTCAAAGGGGCCTGGCATTATAACCACATGACATTTACTCCGATCGCCAAAAAATTTATGTTATATTGTAGATTGATCTATATGTTATCCATTCTATGTGTTAGACTTACGATAAAAGTAAAGGTGGGGATACCAGAGAGCTTCAAAGTAGGATGGTACCCCCCAAAAAAAACTGGGTCGAGTCACCTTAAGAGACAAAGGAAGATGAGAATCAACCTAGGTTAAAAAATCTTAACCTGAATAGTTTATTTTGGAATTTTAATTTTAACCAGTGTAACATATACAGTTGTATCTTAGCGCATCAAATTTTTTTTTCCTCAGGTACACATACCGTCAACAAATCCTGTTTAAATCAATTGACAGGCACACTGGTACAGCACTCATGATTCATTATAGACCTAATCACAGTGTTGAACACACCTGTCTCTGGAAACTTCAACAATGGATACTCCTGTTTCCTTTGCTCCACTCAGGATCGCATGTGACATAGGAGCAGCACCTTTCCACTGAGGTAGAAGAGATGGATGAATGTTTATGGCACCACTAAAAAGAAAAAAAAGTACATGTATGTGTAAACGCAAGTTTATTCCACTGTATAGGTGTTTACTAAACTCATTGATCAAAGAGTACCTAGTACTGTAAAAGCTCACATTAGCTGCTTGGATGCTTATCAAATTTTGTGAGTCAAGAGGAGGGCACATATTTGAAGGTGGGATGGAGGAGAGGGCTTATTTAAAGGGCCAGATTTTTTCATTTTTCCAATTTTGGCCTCAAAATAACATTGTCTTATTGCCAGTACATGTAAAACAAACAGTAACTGTAAACAAGACTGTAACTATAAGAAGAAAACCAAATCTGTGTGTTATCACTTTTTAATGAGTCCAGTTTTCTCTAATGTCCCCCATTTTAAGTTCTCATATGGAACTTTTAGACTGTGTATTCAGTGATTTTTCTTTCTTAGGAGAGGGTTAGTGGGGGTGTGAATTTCAAGGAGTATTAAATTATCATTTTTTGCCTCAATGGGGGCAATAATTTGAAGCAGGGTACATATTTGAAGCAGAGTGCCTTTTGGAACATATGGTACGTGTCTACCATATGGGTAAACTATGCTCTGTCCAAGGGGTGCTCATTTTGGGACTTATCATCCAGAACAGGATATCCAAATATAAAAATTTGCCTGCAAAGGGGTATTATGTTTGTAAACATGAAAAGTTTCAAAATGTAGTCTGGGCTAACAGGTTTCACACTTTAAACTGATTTGCAGTTTCCCTGTCACATTTACACCCGAGTACCTGACAAGTTGAACACCATATTATTATTTTTGTATATACTTACCATGGAAACATATCCAGGACATGATTTGGTATCAAGTAACCAAATGATGCAACAACTCCAATATCAAATGGACCAGTTGGTCTAAAAAGGAATCAGAATAATATCAGACCATCAAAAATACATGTGACTGAATATTTTACACCAGTTTTCAGTGCAATGAAGGCAAAGAATACATGATGTCATGTAAATATGTCGATGTGGACAATACAACAAACTACCGAATCAGAACCAATAAAAACAAAATATCCACGTGGTTATTTCAATGGAAATGTCCATAAAAGTACATAACCAATGAATGGACTGTTTTGTTCTCCTAAGTTACCCTGTTTGAGGACAGTGTCTCAATGATTTTGTTGCCACTAATTGAAACTGTTTTGACCTACAAAGTTTTCGCTGCAAGGGATGAGATGTTTCGTCCTTGCCTATATTAGCCCCTGCTATCTTGGGTAAAGCAGTAGGCAAATGTTCTCCTTTTACAGTGTCAGTAAAACTTCTTGCTTCCTCTTTCTTTTTTCTTCCTGGTTTGATTGATAAAAGTGCTTAAAATAAAATTGGTAGTTTCCTAACTGTATAGTACCTTCTGACCCCCACTCAAGAAGCAAGAAAATGTGCTAAGCAATGCAGGTAATTATAATAATAATAATTTGTCATGTACCATTAAATTTTACTCCAGTGCAAAGAAGTTACTTTTGCTAGTCCAATGCAAATCTTACCCATCCTGAGGTTCCCATCCCTCCTTTCCAGTCCAGTAGTGAACAGGAATGTTGTGTTTTAAAGAAAATTCTCTTGCTGTGTCTAAGGCATCACCATTTTGTTGTTTCTGTTGAAAAATAAAAATCAGATCCAAAGCTTAAAGATACCTGTAGACAAGTATACAGGATAAAACAAATAAACTTAACTGCATTGATAATAGATTGTGAAAAGAAACGGGAATCATAAAGCAGGAACACAAAAAGAATTTTTTTATGGTTTTTTTTTTCTCTATTTGGTCATTCAAACTTTAAACAAACCTTAATGACCCTTCTTCTTTCAGGAGGGCAGACTACATCAAGCAGTTTTACAATGGAACCTGAAGTTCTAAAACAAAAATCTATTATTAGAATCAAAAACCAATCAACTCAGATGTGGTAAATCATTGAGAAATTAATGCAATGCTGGTTGTGAAAAATAAATAAAAAAAATACCTGCTTCAGAAGTCTGAGCAGTACAAAAATAATTTTTGGGTGTGGCAAAAGCCCCCACTCCCCCAAAACCATGATGAACTGCACCAGACCATGTTCAAGTGCAATTTTGCCATACTATTCTAGACTAGATGACAAAATCCTACCAAACTAACTATAAACCAGAAACTCTAATCCTTTACACTTATGATCAAATTACCATAATGATTCACTGAGGGACTGCTTGCAGTTTACACCTGCCCCCACCCCACCTCTCCTAAGACTGAGAAGTCAACTGCTATCTGCTATAAAATAATAAAAAAAAGAGGTTTCAACTGATTTTTGTCACACTATTTTTGGCACGATGGGAAACCTTTACTAAGCAAATAAGGGGCAGGAACATTTCATTGAACACTGAAGGCTCATAAAAGACTGGGGGAATTAGGAATTGTAAGGGGGCAGCCGGATCTCTGGCGAGCACGTGTCCCTTTTCTTGAACGGGAGGAGTTGTTGCCGCATTTAACTTTGTTTTTGAGTTGATGAAACTCATAATTTGTCCCCATTTTCTCCACAGGGAGAGGAGAATATTAAATGGATGACCCCAATAAATGTAAGCTTAAGCTTTTATGTCACGAGCATGCATCAAAGATCGTTCTAAAAAAAGCTCCGGCCTTTATTCAACCTTTACTCAAAAATTTATAGTCCTGCAACGGGGTTACCATCACGCAAGACGCCTAAATAGACGCCTACAGTATGTATAAATGGGTCTCAAGTTAGCGTGAACTCGAACTTCCTGTTAGAAAACTATTGATTCCCTGAGGTATTAAATCGAATGCTACTCAAGTAACAGACAGACTAAAGTACACGTGCTTATCTTTGCAAATAATTATATGACCCATAGCGAACTCGGCGAAACTGACTAGAGGTCCATTTCCTCAAATTTCAAAACTACATTATTACCTTTCATTTTCAATCAACGCTTTCAGTGGGTGTACCGCAAATCGATCAGTTCCAAAAAACAAAATTTTCCATGGAGGCTTACAAGTTGAATTCCTAACAGAGAAAGACCTCGCAAAGTAGATCATTGTGTTGCCAATGCCATTAGTCTGCCATGTTTTGGATGACGGCGACTGGAGTCGAGTCTATTCGGCAGATATTCGGTTATCATCGGACCAAGCAGGCTTTTACGACCTTTAACCGAGAAGTTATTGACTTACGAGCGTGGGGAATACCCATCATACTGTGCGGGTAGAAACTTTGGACTTACTGTTTTGCTTTGAGGTGGAAAGTAGTGTTTTCGCTAAATTATGTTATTTCTCTTTTGATCTTACCTCTTCTTCAAATTGTATGGGAAGAAATTTACCAAAACGTCCCAAAAATTGTTTATAAATTGTATGACATGCATGCTATCGAGCTCGGAAGATAATTTATCTGGAACCTACTACTTCCAATGTGACAAAATTTAGCTACATGGCCGCGACTGGGTTGAGCGTGAATTTAGAACCAGGTATGATCATGCAGAGAATATTATTTATTTATTTAAAATTCATGTTTTTCTTTGGTTCTTATCATGTTTATTTTGGTAACGTGGCGCGGTTATGGGAGAAAAACAAGGGTATTTACGAGTGAATCTTCGTGATTTTTGTTCTGCACGACTGTCTCTCTCATATTGACTTTCTGAGATAAAATATCTTATTTTGTTTTTCAGCAAAAGGGACGAGCTCTTATAAAGTAGCAATGGTTAATGCACCAGCCAAGCCAAAGAGCAAACCTGCACCTTTAGATGTAAGTGAAAATGGTCGATTGCAAATGCGGAAAGTGAGCGTGTGGACTCCAAAATTCCAGGAATATCTTTCCGGGTTCAGGAGTAATCTTATATCGATCAAATCATGTAATATCGCTTCAAACATTAAAGGGTCAGAAATTGCAGTCTGGCGGAATAACATACTGACACAGATTTGTTTGGTGAACAATACCGTGTTAAATGTTTTTGGCTGTACATTTTGTACTAGCTTGTGTGTGCTTGATTTACAAAAATTAAGGTCAGTGTTTTGGTCACTTGAAAGCGAGCAATTCCTAGATGAGTTCAGTATAGGTCAATCCTCGCAAAGTATGTTTATGTAATTTTCTTTTTTTTTTTAATCTCAGCTGAGGTATTTTTGCTATTTATCACTAATACCCTTGGTGGAAAGTGAAATTTTATTCATTTATTCCTCCTTTCAAATGAAATTGTGCCAAAACTGCAAGATCAAAGTTTGCAACACTTTGAAGTTCTGGAACAAAGTGTAATTAATTTACTGTGGGCAACTTGGCCTATAATATGTCCTGGATTTGTAATAAAACAGGAAATGCCAAAAATAGATTTCGACAGCAAAAAAACTGTATTTCCTTTTTTTTGTTGTTGTTGTTGTTTTTAATAGGAACTCCCAATGCAAAAAGGATTTGCAAAAAACCATTTAAAAACTGTTCTCATGAACAATGGTCTGTCATGTACATTTTGATTGGCAGAAAAATGGGAACGTTGTTCAATGTCTTAATTGAAATTCACCTTTAGGACAGATTTCTCAATGTTAAAAATTAGTTTTTGGATTTCACAATGTATTGCAAAATTTAAGATCTTAATTTTTAAAATCTAATCCAGATTTCCCAAATTAAAAGCAGCCATGGTGCCTCGACTTGAGAAAGTGAAATTGGTTTTGTGTAGAGGTGTTTGCAAATTGTCACAAATCTTGTGTTATTATTTGTTGGTTCAATTTTGTGCTGATCTTAAATCGTGTAAAATATCAAATCCCATGATAAATTAATCTCCAAGTTGATTTGTAATGCATTTCCCAGAGATGCAAATGTAGCAATTGGTCATCAGACAATGTCCATTTAAAATTTGCTTTATGTCTGACAAATCCTACTACTTATGGTCAGACATGATGAATGGAGAATTCAGAATAATACAAAGGACTGTGATTTTGAAGCAAGACAATTTTGCATGGTAGGATTCATACTAAATTGATGTAGAGTGGGGGGGTTATGGTGATTTTAGTTTTTCCCATGCAATTCTTGGAAGCCGCCCCCCTGTTATTTGGTGTTTTTTTTTCCTGGCTCCCCTTGTTCCATATCCCACAAGTTCTAAGGCAAAATACATGACCCCCATCCTCCACCTCTATCCCTACTTAAAAACCCCAGAGACCAAAACAAGGCATTTTACTCATAAAATTTAACCACAATATGACAACTGTTTAGACTGATAAGCACCGTCCAGCTTCCCCACCAATAGGATTATAAGCTATATAGACTATCTGTAATCTGAGTGCTTGTATCAATCCTAATGAAGCTAAAGAACTATACCTCTTATACAGAGAGGGTACCATACCATCGCGTGTGAGTTTTTCTTTGAGGTATCGATGATACTCTTGCTTGAATGCCTAGCACTGATGCTGCTGCTCACTTTTCTGACTATGTTGAATGGTCTACACCTGAGCTTGAAGTTTACAATAGAACTTGCTGCTGATAATAAGATCCCTTTCACTGTAATTGAGATAATTAAGAATGGAATAGAACTTGAAACCCGTGTTTACAGAAAGCCGATCAACACTGGTCTGCTCTTGCATTTTCAAAGCCATGTAGAAAAACATTACAGAACCCATTTCTTAAAGACCATGTTACATCGGGCTTATGCCCTGTCATCTAGGACAGAAGCCTTTAATGAGGAATGTGCCAAGTTATGCCCTATCTTCTGCCTACTTGATTATCCAATTGGCCTCATAAATTCCACCATTAACATCTTTGTTCAAAATATTACAACTAAGCCAGAAATGAAAACCGAATAGTTTTCTTGCAATTTTTTATAGCTAAATTATTAGTTAAAAAGTATCAATCATTGTGTTATTATTAATTATAATATGCTGTTAATGACACTTGGCTGTTATTGTTTTGTTGTCAGATGCCTCGAACACAGTCCTTTACATCAGCAGATAAGGAGAAGAATCCTTCAACACCACGAGCCAAGATAGGCCATCGTCGAGTCGATGAAACTGGAGAAACAACTTACAAAAAGGTAAGTTAACTTAGGCAGCATATTGTGGTATGAAGCATACAGGGACAAGAAAAAATAAGTTTGAGGCCTGTCCCCCTTTTTTTAGGGTCTTGATGAACAGGCATCCCATTGATGATCCAAATAGACTGCCACTGTTAACATTAATCAGAGTTTTAATCAGTAACACCTGGTACCTTATCATAGGAAATTAACACTTCATGGAATTAACGTGGATTTCAAAAATTCATGAGTATTAAAGTTGCGTTAATTTTTGTGAACATTAATTTCCACGCCGTTAATTAATGGAGTGTTAATTTCCTCTACCTTAATTTCCATTATTTCAGTCCAAAATTCTTTATACACTTTTGACATTCTTGATGTGTTCCTAAGGAATAGGAGTATTTTATCAAGGTGGAGATCCACCAGTAACAATGGAACTGTGAAGAACCCTCAAAGTGGTCAAATTTCTTTGGTTGACCCCCTTCATGCGCTCAGGGAAAGTACCACAAAAAAGTTTCCATTTTGGATCATACGTTTATCTCTGTTCCTTTTATCTCAACAAGTTTTGTTTCTTTGTGACTGTTGCATTAAAGGGCATCCCTTCATTATGAAATGTTACCCTTTTTTTTGCATTAATTTCCTTTACTTGAAAGTCACGTGCCATTAATTCACATTGATTTAAGTCATGTTAATTCCAATGCCTTTTGTTTCATGGAGCGTTAATTTCCTATAATAAGGTAAGTTAATTAGAATCTCACTACAGATTTGTCCAATTTCATTTAATACTTAAGTATGATAATGTTTTTAGTGTTTATTACTGGTCAGCATAATATGGTGATATATTGTATTCACAATATTTTTGTTTGTTTGTTTGTTTTATTTTAGACTCCTTCATCAGCTCTTATGTCAGCTATTCAACTAGGGATTGGATATACAGTGAGTTCCTCTGCATGAGCCAAAAATAGCTTTTTAGGTTTACAGACTGTAATTATGAGTACTTGACTGGCACATAAACACATGTGCTGGCTGTAGAGTGTTTCAGAAATTCAAATATGAGTTCATTCTACACCCAAGGTGTACTATCTTTATATTTTTTATTGGTAAATCGTGAACAAGAAGTCTCTAACACTTGTTAGTGAGTGCCCTGTATTGTTAAGAAGAACAGTGGTAGCATCAGAAAAAAAGATAATATGTTTGATGTCTAACCAACAACATAGTTTATTGAAAATGCTATGCGTAACTCAAAGGCAAGGTTATACAATTATAGGTTAATTCATAAAATCAATGGTTGCTGTGGGAGCCAAAACCAGTTATGAAAAGGCACACATTATAGGTACTATGCTTTTGGTCAACAGTTATGCATTGCATACAGATATTTCCAGCCAAACAAATTTGCAGACCTGTTGCTATTGAATTGGTGATTTTGTCACCCTATAAACATCCCCAGCCCTAGGTAGTTTTTATTAGGTTTAATTTTAGTCAGGTAAATGGAAAGGGATTTTATGCACTGTGAAAAACTTTTCTTTGTTGTTTTATATTGAAGGTTGGAAGGTTATCAGCCAAACCTGACCGTGATGTTTTGATGCAGGATTTTGCTGAAGTTGAAACTGTCTCATTTCCAAGGTGATTGTGTATTTTGTAGTCTTGTTTTTCAAGTACAATGTAACTGTTTATACTGTAGCTGTGATTTATGTAGCAATCAACTCTTCTTAACCCATACACCCTTGAACTGCGCGGTAACCGTCCAATGTATGCGGATCCATGAGCACTTCTTCCACTTGTGATGTCATCAGTTTTAGCATTCAAGGACAATTTTTTCAGCTAACTTGTGCAGGGTGAAGAGATCTTTCAAACCATACTAGAATGAGCACAATTTAGTCACAAAGCCTAATGAAATTAAGGCAAAACCTTGTAACCTTGACCCAAAAATTTCCATGAAAATCTTATTCCACTACCCATGTCCTACCTTTCCTTTCATCTTATCCTAAGATCCTTAAAGTTTTCCCCAAAACTTTTACTGTCACCAAAATGTCCAGTAAAAGAAAAAATAAGAGGCAAGAAAAGCAAAAGAAGAGGAGAGGAGAGAAAGCAAAAAGAAGAAGTTAAGACTGTACAAAATTTTGCTTTCTGCACGTACCCGAACTTTGGAAGCTAATATTTTGCATTGGGATCAAAAGGCCACCAAGTGTACGACCTGTAAACGACTTTGTGGTAAGTTTTAGCTCTTTATAGCTAGGCAGTGGCCAGAAAACGGCTCAACTAGCTTTACATTTAAAACACCTTTTTTGGCGAAATTTTCAGGGGGGTGAATAGCTGTATCTGATCCTCACAGTGTATATACACATTTTTGAACTTTTCTTTTACAGTGAGGGAACAAGAGAAACACCATCTCATCGCTTTAGTGATTTCAAGTTTAAAACGTACTCCCCAGTTGCATTTAGGTGAGTCTCATGTCCTCTTAAATCACTTGCCATGTGCTTACACAATAATTATTTATTGATGTCATATTTAGGTAAAATATTATATGGTATATATTCTTCTATCAGACTAGTCAGATTTAGTGTAATATGATATTGTGTATAAGAAAATATTGTTATTTACTTTCATTTGTTGATGGTGTTTTTTATGGGGGTAGAATGTACAGTGTAACTTGCTAGTTGTTGTATATATTGACATGTAGTAACACATAACTTTCTTCCGGGCTTGTTGCAGAGTTGATGATAACAACATTAATGTTGATTTTTGTTTTTACTTACATGTCAGGACAGTGTTACGACTATACACTGTATTTTTGCAATTTTTGTTTACTTCTTTGTGTACTTTATAGGTATTTTCGTGATTTATTTGGAATGAATCCTGCAGAATTTATGGTACGTACAAGCAAGCACCTTAAAACACATTTTAGTATGCAGTTTAAAAATACATGTGTCTCGTCCAGTTTTTCTTGAGTAGTAAATAGTTAATGACTGTTTAACTATTGTTGGAAGCAAAATGAAAAGCACAGGCCAACCATTAGGGGCACCAACAGCTGTCCCAACACTGCTTGAGGTACATCTACACTGTACATGTACTAGATGATGTTTAGAACTATTGTCTGCAGTTATTAATTTTATAAGGAAGTCTACAGTTATTTTGTAACTGTAATGTTTATTGTTGCAGTACGCGGTCAAAACATCGCAATCAATATCTAAGTGACAATTGTGAAACAAACAATAGACAAAACACTTAACCTTTATAATTATTTTGGTTCAAAATGAAATTTACCTGAAAATGGTACATTGTAGATTAGTTTGATCCTCAGTTTTCTAATCGAGAGTGATCAATTAGATCAATAATTAAAGTTATTGTCTCTTAACAAAGAAAATTAAGAATCAAACTATAAAATACACTTTAATTCTTGAAACCACTTTTAACCTGAATTTTATTTTGAACTTAAGATAGTTACTTGTAGTTTGTAAATACTTGTTAATATATAGTGGTGACGTGACTTAATTTCTGCGGAAACCTATTAAATTAATACCGTCAACTCTCTCTATTAAGTCAGACACCTTTTGGACTGGCATTATGTGTCTGTCTTAAAGAGAGTCAACTAAAAGGAGTAAACGAAGGCAGAGACCAATCATAGGTGTCCAGGTTATAAAAGTGTCCAGGGTTTGCAAATTTTATTGATGAGTGGAGTCACTGTGACTTCTGCTTCACAAATTTTGGAGTCATTTTGGAATATTTGGCGTCAAGTATCACAACGAAAAAAGCCATTTTCAGACTTTCCAGCACGTGGTCATGGCGTGTATACACTATCGTGAGGGATACACAAAGTAGCTGTGGCGGTCCGCTGACCTGGAAAGCTAAAATCCATGATGGCGGTCATCGAGTAAACTTTGATCGTAATTTACCCTCTTCCTGTTTTGTCGTGCAGTATAATTCTTTAATTTTGATGATTTATTTAAGGTTTACAACATTTACAATTAACGTAAATTGTATTTGTTGCGAAAAAGATAAGGACAAAACTGTGTTTGTTACCGAAAATTTCTGGAGTTGAAGTGGCTCCCTGTTTGTTACCGAAAATTTCTGGAGTCGAAGTGACTCCCTCCGTAACCTCAGTGGAGTCATCTGAACAATTTTGGCGTAAAATACGCCAAATTTGGCATATTTGCGAACCCTGAAAGTGTCTGATCTGCAGAGAGAGTTAGCCTGTTCAGACCCTATATTTTCTCTTCAAAGTCCATCAAGCATGCATGACATAATATAAACCGCAGGGGATTTATTGAGCGCCAGCGCAAGGGGATTATTAGTGGTGGGGGAAGAAGATGATTGTTCAGTATTTTCCATTCTGTCTTTCCAGATGGCTCTCTGTAATGAATCACTTGTAGAACTTGCCAACTCTGGAGCAAGTGGCTCATTATTTTATGTAACAAATGATGATGAGTTTATCGTAAAAACTGTACAACACAAGGAAGCAGAATTTCTTCAGAAGCTTCTTCCAGGATATTATTTAGTAAGTGTTGTCCATTTTATTATCTTAATTCTTCAAAGCCTTTCTGATGTGTATAAATTATTTAGACATGCCATGTATTAGATATGTACTGTGTTTAGCAAGTCTATACTTATTTGCATCTAGTCCCTTGAGGTCAGGGACAGGGAAGGGGTAGGGAATGGGGGGTAATACTGTAAGTGTATGTATGTGCTGCCAAAGGGGGTTCTAATTTTAGGAATTCCATCTAGAATGGGATGTCAGTATGCATTACTTTTCCTAGAACAGGGTTTGATACCAGTATTTTATTTCAAACCCACTAAAGCATTAGAGCAAGAGGGCCACTGTACATCACTAAGAATTAGCCTATTTCTAGAATGGGGTATTATTTGGAGTGCACTTTAATTCTGAAACATGGTCCAACTTTGGAGACCTGGGTGAAACATACGAACCCAAAACTTACCCGTGTACCACCCTGTAGCTTTGTGGGGTTAAAACAAGGGGACATTCCAGCTGATAAAATATCTATAGACTGCAAGGAAATTCATAACTAGGTGGAATATTATTATCCAGTGATTTAAGTTCTGAATAGGACTGCGAGTTGTAGCAAGTGACTGGCATTTTGGCAACCTTTGTGGTAGCCATGAGCCTCTGTATGGATATTTCAGAGCGGAACTGAAGTCACAACCATCACTATTGATGAAGCGATGATCTTAGAGATTAAAGCGACTATCGCATTGCTATTTGAATCAAGTTTGACAATGTTAACTGTACAATGATGGCAAAGAAACCAGTCAAAAAGTGTGCTGCATGTTCAGAGTTTTTGTTTTGCTTATTTTATAGTTGTGCTGAGCTTGGTAGTAGCATTACCATGTAAGAAAATGTTTGATATGTAACAATTTGCGTGCAAAACAGACAATTTGATGAGAAACATGCAGCAAAATGGATGTTGGCAGTCACCCATGCAGAGGCCCACTCATCTTCAGATACTGCACTGTGATTACAGCACAGGTTGTGGAAACGTCAGTAACTGTCAATGACAGTCCTATTCAGGACTGTACTAACCTGGATGAACATATTCCCCCTGTAATGACTCCTGGGTTCAAACCATTCACTGTTTTACCGAGGAATTTTGTCATCTGAAAAAAATATATGTTGTGCTGTTTTCAACCTTTTTCATTTTACTTGTGGTTGTGCCATAGTTTGTCTCATGTGACAGAATCAGGTGTGAATTTGTTGCAAAAGTTTTTAAGTTTATAATTTACTATTTTCTTTTTGCAGAATTTAAACCAAAACAAAAGAACACTGTTACCAAAGTTCTTTGGCTTGTACTGTTATCAGGTAATGGATTTTTTTAATTTGATAATTGTTTACATGCAAAAACATTCATGTTATTGTAGAGGTACATGTAAACCCCTTTAGTGCCATTATAGATCTTCTCAACTTAAACATGTTCAACTTGAATTTTGATGTATAGTGTAAAAATGATGATAAGATTTGTTTTCTTTTTCTTTTTCAACAGTGTGGAGGGAAGAACATAAGATTAGTGATAATGAATAATCTTCTACCAACAGATTACAAAATTCATTTCAAATATGATCTGAAGGTACTTGATTTTTCAATATTGTACTCTTTTGTACTTGTCTTGTGATTACACTAGATAAGAAATCCCACTAGGATAGCCTTCCCATCTTTGACAAGTTCTCTGTGGCTGTGTGCAAATGGGACTAGATAAGTTGTGGAAACTTACTTAAAACTCTTTCAAACATTATCGGTCTTTTTATCTGCCTGGGTCAGTGACATTTTTGAGTCAATGATCTCAATCATGTCACATTAAAAGCAGAAACCCAACAAATCCATTTCAAGAATAATTTGTATGTTCTAATTTTTACCATGGTACTGTACTTGTGTTAATGATTTGAGTTGTTGTGGTTCAGGCTTTTTAGGGGAACTTGTTGTATTATTTCCCAGTGCCATTACATTTACATTAGTCATTTTATTCATATTATGTCCGTTTTTGTAACAGTATATGTACAATGGAAGTCAGTCTGGATCTGCTCCTTGTTAACTTATCTTGAACAGAATAAATTGGTTTCTGGAGTATCAAAAATTAATGCATAATGGCAATGTTACTAATGGTGCACTAATTGATCATATTCTGGAATAAGAATAGACAAAAGTTTTGTTAAAAATCCTTTGTGCGATAATCTTTGGACCCTCTAAATGCTACAAACAGTGCAATATTTAATTTTAATCAGATTTGCAATGCAACGAACACAAAATAATGATTTCTAGGGTTTATGCCATTTATTTGTGATAGTGTTCCGGAATACAGTCAATTGAACATGCCCTAAATTGTCAAATAAACTTTCTTTGTTAACAGGGTTCCACGTACAAAAGAAAAGCATCCAAGGCTGAACGTGCCAAGGAAACACCTACACTAAAAGACTTGGATTTCTTAAATGATCACCCAGAGGTACATGTACATGTAACTGTAACATGCAGGCATTTGTAATATTTCAATAGGGAGCCTTCATTTCTAAGCTTGAAAAAACCTGCCTTGCGTAGAAGTAATATTCTTCTTTTATGCAAAATTTATTTGTTGTAGAAAAGCTGTTGAAGGTGATGAAAATCGTGTTGATGACAATGTTAATGTTGGGTCTCAGTGGTAAATAATATTATACATGACATTGTATTCAAACGTTATCTTATTAATTTTAACCTCTCTGAGGCATATAAGTTTTTTACCTCAAGAGTAACAATATTTTAGTGTTCACTCAAGTCTTTTTACCTAGGAGAGGTAAAGAAAACAAACTGTTACCTTGTTATCTTTCTTTTTAGGGACTTTTCCTTGAACCTGACACATATAATGCTGTATTGAAGACAATACAAAGAGATTGCAGGGTATTTTAAGTGCATTTTTGCTTACGTATTCCTATCTGTGTCCACTTCACTGTAGTTTTAGTAAGAACTGGTACATCTACTTTTATTGTTATCAAACTACAGTTCTTCCTTTTCCCCCCCCCCCCCCCCCCCCCCCCCCGGAAAAAAAAAAAATAAGAATCAGGTCTTTAAATCTTCAAAAGGTGGAAAATGTCATCCACTAGATCTCTATTATTGGTTTCCTTTTTTTTGTTTTAGGGGCTATTCCGGTACATGACCACAGAAATATCTGTGTTGAAGAAAATACAAAGAGATTGGTGGGTTTTTTAGATGCTTTTTTGCTAACATTTTCCCCTCTTTGGCCCCTACATCTTAGTTTTAATAAAAATTGGGGCCTTTACCTTTTTTGTTTTCAAACCCCAGATCTTACTTTTCCCCCCCCCCCCCCCCCCCCCTCCCCAGAGAAAAAAAAAAATAAGAATCAGGTCTTTAAATCTTCAAAAGGTGGAAAATGTCATCCACTAGATCTCTATTATTGGTTTCCTGTAATACTTATTTGATGGATATCCAGGGGATAGCGCTATCTAACGTTTGAACAATTGGGACCAACTGTATTGTATTGCGGTCTGATTAATGCTTAAGAATGTTTTACATGTATATGCATTCGGCTTATGTTGGCTTTGTTAAGAATTGTTTTTGTTGTCTAAGAGGAATAGGCCATAACAGTACAATCAAAACTTCTGCTGAATGGATACCTCGTCATATTGGCAACTTTTACCACATTTACCTCGTTTCCCAAGTGGGCGTTGTAAAGACGTTGTATCATGTCTGCCTTTTCTATTCCCAAACTTTCAAGAAATTTGCCTGGGTCTGTTGCTTGTGTTTTCCAGGTACTGCAAAGTTTTAAAATCATGGATTATAGCCTTCTTTTGGCAATTCACAAAATAGATGAGCCCGGACGCCCACGAGTTAAACGGTCAATGAGTGAACCATCAACTGATATGCCAATGAAGCCTGACTCTCCATCAGGTCTCTTATCCCCCGGCCCTGATGATACACCATCCAATGGACAGCAGCAGCAGCAGCAGCAGCAGCAGGAAACTACAGCAAGTAGTCCAGGTTAGATTCATTCTGCACACAACTCTGCAATTCTGCGCAGACCTGCACAGTATGGTGATGAGTACAAAAGTGACTCATTTCCTGTGACAGTTCCCACTTTTTAGAAACAAGAAAGGAGCTGGATCTGAAATGCATCCTGCATATTTCTGGGATTGTTACTGGGGACGTGCCTGTCAGCAAGGCAGCGTGGCTGAGTGGTTAGAGCGCTGGACTTACAATTCGAAGGCCCCAAGTTCAACTCCCGCTCTGACCACTAGCTGGATTTGTTCATGGTAGTCCCGAGTTCAAATCCTCGCCCACGCTTTTCATTAGCTTCGATTTGTTTTATTGTTGAGTCACTCAGACAAGCGTCTCTTCAGTCACAAGTTAACAATTTTAATTAACTAATAAATATATTATTTGTTTATCTATTTATTTATTATGTAGAGGGTGTTCGACGACCGCTGGCACGTGCGAGGAGTTTGAAAGGAAGAGAAGGCTTTAGTTCAGCTTGGGAAGCGATCACTGTAGAAGACGACGAAACAGAAGAGAGGCCGTAAGTAAAGACGATCGAGCTTAATTTATTACCTAAAATATATAACCCTCTGAAATAAAAGCCCACAGTACAGTAAACATTGATGTCTCGAGTCTCGATGTTTTTTTTCAGGGTTGGAGGTATTCCTGCTCGGAACGCAAAAGGCGAAAAACTTCTTTTGTTTCTCGGAATTATAGATGTATTACAAAGTTACAGGTAAGAAGAGTGTTCGTTAGTATTCGTAAGTTGCAGCTAATATTGTAGTAGTATAGGGTGCGCTGAATTCTCCTTAGCTATATGACTTAATTGCTGTAATGCTGGATAAATCGGAGCGCCCGCACTACTTGACTTGACCTGACTTGTTAATTTCGTTAACAGAATAGTAAAGAAACTAGAACATGGTTGGAAATCTCTGGTCCATGACGGGGTAAGAAATTTGAATTTTAGTCGAGTCTAATTTGTATGTCCTTATTTTGTTAATTATGGGGGGGCGTGGGAGGGGAGGGGATCAAACTGAATGTGTTATGGGGGATTCGAAAATAGTTAGTAGCTACTGGCCACATTAGTGAAATCGCTCTATTTGCATCGTTATTTAATCGTAATCTTTTTTTTCCTTTTTGCAGGACACAGTTTCCGTCCACAGACCGTCCTTTTACTGCACTAGATTCCAAGACTTTATGTCTTCCGTGTTCAAGAAACTGCCAGGTTTGCATTTCTCCCAGAACTTGAAACTTTTCATTTAGGGTCCTATAAAGCACATGAAACCCCTCTTATATTCTACCTACCCATAGAAAACTCCTGTAATCTCAGAATTGTGTTGGAAAAATGTTGCAAAAGTTTTAGTTGAAGTTTAGAGACTGTTTATTGTTTTCCTTGGAAATTAATCAACCAGCTGCAAACGTTTATAAATAGCGGTAAAATATTCGAGCTCTGGCTTCTAGAATTGTATCAGTATAAGATTTTTAGAAACTGCTGACTAACTCCCTCCCCCGAACCTAGTTGAAGTTGGTGTTAACGTTTGGTTGGGAAGCGGGGGAGGGGTAAGTGGGTATACCAAAAGTTTAAAAAGACACTGACCATTGCCCACTCCACAGAACAATATGTAACCAACGATAGTTGCCAACACCAATAACACCACAAAGAAAGTCCCGTTCTTTTTTGATTACTGATCCTCTTGTTTTCAGCCAAAGCTTCCCCTCGGAAGCGAAACGTCGGCGCAACTGCGTTGAACCGTGTTCGATCCATGACTGAGCAAGACCGCGCTCAACGGGAAAGAACGCTTACTAGTGACAGTGTGACATCCGACAAGGGGAAAGCACGATCGTTCACAGAAGCCGACAAAAACCATGAAAAAACAGCTTTCAAGAGACCTTCACAGGACAAACGGAGGCCTTCTGAAGATACCAACCTCGAGAAAAAAGTGGTTGTTGTTGGTAAGTGTAACGGAGCTTCATGCACACCATTGTATTGAAATTTTTTGTGTTAACATAAACCCCTTTATAAAATCCCCCCAAAAAGCAAGCCAAGCAAAGCAAAGAAGTAGTTTCCTGCAGTAAAAATTTCATAGAGATTCCTTTTTTTGCCTCGCGATCTCAAAATTGGATTATGGCGTTTTTATCATTTTGTGCCATCGTAACGTGTATATAACTTTGTTGGACATTCCATGTAAGGTTCAGACATCAACATCGTCAACAACTGACAACAACTACAACAGCAATATTTTGGCGCTCTAATACACAATTTGCAATCGTCTTAAAGATTACTATTCCTTGTCTATAGTATTTGAAGCAAGGTTATACGGGCAATTGCATGTTGCTATTTGTTTTTTACTAATCCTTGACCCATTATCGTAAAAATCAGGTTTCTGTTCTTTAAAGATTTTAACTGAACCAGGCCTACACACGATCCGGCACTCCTCACTGGTTGCAGTCGTAATGGTTTTTACCTTTATTAAATTCTTACCCATGTAATCAGTTTGTTTTCGTGGGTGAATATGTCTCATCATATAATCACTGTATTATCTAAATTTATAGTCAATAAAACTTTTTACTATTATTCTTCAATCAGATCCAAAAGATACTTCTGTGGCAGCGGGGGAATCGAATTCGTCTGAATCGTCACCTCAAACAGTCAAACAGGAGACTGTAAGTAATATTCCTCAAACAAACGATCACGTGACCGATACCGCTGAACAGCCAGCACCGACGGCGCCTAGTGAAAATCACGAACTTTCAAATGAAGCGACCCAAGATACAACAGGGGAAGATAAAACAGAGGATGTGAATTCGGAAATTTTATCCACAGGAAAAATTTCTGTTGACATTGTAGTGAACGATGATACATCGAATCTTAAAAATGATGAATTATGAGGTTGTCCTACAACTTAGCTTTCCCCTTAAAAAAGAGAAAAAATGCTCATTTAATTCACTGGAATTCTGTTTAAATGGATATAATTACAAATATGGCAACGATGTATATTTTTGAAGATCAGAATACTAGTTAGTATATTTTACCATAGAGCTAGAAATAAATGATGTGCTATGTAATGGGGAAAAAAGTAATAAACACGAGGCCTGACAGTAGAATTGTACATTTTTGTTAAATGGTCAGGTTTTTCGGTGAGGTAGCCTGTAGTGGTAATTAATGCAGAAGCAAGAGATAAAATTAAGGATGCTGGGTGCTCTATACAAAGTTATGGCAGATTATTGTGCTGTGGATATTTGACCTGACTATTACACAGACATACTACAGGACTGCGTTTCACAGACTTAAAAGCTGTGAACAACATTATCCAGGTCCTGGTTGTTCAAACGTTGGATAGCGCTATCCACCGGATAAATCACTATCCAGCGGATAAGTCTTAGGGAAACCAATTGCGTTATCCACTAGATAGAATTTTATCCGGTGGATAGAGCTATCCAACGTTTGAGCAACCGCGGCCAGGAAGCTAAAGAAGGTGACAGAAAAATACAACAATCACTATTTTTCATGCCTGCCTGTGACTTTCCCTCCAAAAGTCTCGCGGTAGCTTTGATTAATGGACAACTCTGGAAGTAGGTGTAACACTATCTGAATTCAATGTGGACATTAAAAATTAAAAAACGTGATGAGGTTTTTGATGAGGTGGAAATTTCATCTGGGAGTTGAGTTAGTTTAAACTAGCTACCAGGGCTACACAAAATCAAACCACTGAAGGTTTGATTTTGTGGCCTCCCTTCAATCAACAATGTCAGTTCCGATAGTTTTGACTCTAAGAGGTTACCTGGAGACATCAGAGGCATTCGACAATAACGTGTTAAACAAACCTGAATAAAACAGAAGACAGCTTTGATAGTGAGAATGTGAAAAGTTTAGTGATGTAACATTAGAGTGAAGAATGATCACTCTCATCTACAACCACCGTTCAAAAATGAATTATTCCATGTACTTCACATCGATGTAACATTAACTGAGTAACATTAACTGAGGTGTTAATATAAGCTATAGGTAAGAGGAAAAAAAACCTTTAACATTCAGTGCGTACACTTTTACAACTTAAAGCGTCTTTTTTTGGTACATATATTTTTTTCATTAACTTTGCTGATGACACAAATACAGAGATGTAGTAGGTGATAGGGACTGGGATACTGTAACAGTTGTAACCAATTATAGAAGGCTTAAAGTAGCTGAACGTAACCACTAAACGTAAAATACAGTAAATTAGAAAAACTTGAGAAGTGCTAATACATCGTCTGCTTTGGCTGTTAAAAGGCTACGTTTTAATAACAAAGTAATTTGCAACTTGTTATGAATTTACAGGTTTCACTAGAACACAAAATCCGTCTGCTTAAAATCTCCGTGACTTTCAGTTAAGAAAGCGTATATGTAGTGATCTTAAAAGTGCACTGTCGAAACTGATAAACATTACAGATGAATTTTAAAATGCGCCTGGTGCCTGGAACAAGCTGGCTGGTCAGCATTTTTTAGATAATTTATAAACTTAAATTTGTTCCGTATAATGTAAACACTTATTTTTTTATAAGCACCAATGAAATGCCAGGTGAGATTTCGCTCGAAAATATATCTTTACACGTAATAATAATAGTTATCTTCACACGTTAAAAGGTCACTGTTGCTATGGATACATGATAAATCGCGCTTTCGCGGCAATTAAAGTAGGGAAATGATCTTGTGTTTCATTGGTGTTTATTTCACAAAAGAACATTACTTACATCATATTAAGTTTATATCACTCTTCTGTCGAAGGTGCCCAGGATCATACTAAAAACATACAAGGAGTTATATTCTGCACAATAAGAAAAAACGCCAAACCATTCAGCGAATTAAAATGAACTTACCCCTAAGGGAACTGAGTGTAGATGTTGTGGTTCAATTTTTTCCTTGGTTTAAATTTTATGTTCCATTGTTGTGGTGTATGATAATGTATGATAATGAGTTTAAAACAAAGGGAAAGAGAATTTAAACCAAGGATAAAACTGAACCACAATATAAACGTTGTGCGCCTCAGATTTGGTTCTTTGGTTGTTTTTGTTTGTTTGTTTGTTTTGTTTTGTTTTGCAAGTAAGTGGGTTGAGTTTTATCACCATGGTTTGACCAAGATTATGAGCCCCTTATTTGCTTTAATATCGAAGCCTTTTCTGGACTCGCAAAGTCTACTAGGCACCCTTATACATGTCTTTAACCAGTTTTGCTTTGTTTAGAATAACCAAGACCCGTAAATGTCTTGCATGTTCCTTCCAAAGGTTTGTGCTGTCGTCATGTTTCTGTTTTTATTTTGATATTTTATTTTGTTTATTGTCCAATTTGTCGTCATTTATGTTTGTTGTTGTCGTTACATTGTCGTTCCACACCTGTGTATTGTTCAACTGTCAATATTTGCTAGTATTACTGACAATAACCGAGCTATACGACTTATAACTTCCTCGATATAAATTACGATCTGCGAAGTGAAAAGGGCAAGCTCTTTCCCTGGCCTGTCTTAATACAGCTAATCAATATTCAATCACAAAACTGAAGACTTCAGTGATCTCTTGTAACATAACAGAAAAAATGTTGATATGGAACCTTTTTTTAGCAGGAGCAGACCTCTCACAATCCTCTCCGTCGCCAAGTTAGTTTCCAGCTTCCCGAAGAAGAGGCAGACAAAAAGATGAATTAATAATAATAAAACAATGGCTGGTCCAACATGCTTTCCTGGCAGCAATTTCGAATAGTTTGTCTCGTGATTGCTATTATTATTATTAATAGAAATTTGTGCTGTGCAGTTTCTGTGAAAATATTCAACTGCGCCTTACATAAGAAATTGATTAAAGATGGAAAATAAAACCTAAATTTCATTGCTAAAATTCCTAATTAAAAGCCTTACTAAATAAGAAAGTTTTAAGTCTATTTTTAAACAGATTTAAATTGGAAATAGACCGCATCGTAGATGGAAAAAGGTTCCAAAGTCTCGGGGCGGCACAACTAAGGCCCTGTTTACAAGGAGGGAGGGTAACCCTAGTGCTAGGGTTACCCTAGCAAGAGAGTTACTCTAGCACTCGCATATTTCTTCTTTTTTCACACCACGTGTTTACAAGGCTAGGGTAACCCTACCTGAGGGCTAGGGTTACTCTAGCAAGAGGGTTTCCCTACCAGTCTTGTAAACGCTCTGCTAAGGATAACTCGCCTACCCGGGTCAGCTTTCCGCCGTCATGCGTGACTTTGAACGGTATTATCCAATTTCTGAGTTTAACTATAAACATCTGAAAAATAAAAAGTTATGTTCTGTCTACGATGATAATAACTTCCCTTTTTTTTCTTGAATTTCACGTGTTTTCCATAGAGAACTTCAAGATTATTTTCAAATCTTGGACCGTTACAAAGAATGTCACACATGACGAAACACGTCAGTAAAGTTGGTAAAGTTGACCCGGATGATAGGGTAAACCTACCTGTGAAATTTGCTCGTAAATCAGAGCTAAATTTAACCCGCATGCTAGAGTAACCCTAGCACAAGGGTAACCCTCTCTCCTTGTAAACAGGCCCTAAACGACCTATCACCTAAGGTGATCTTAGTTCTGACTTTTGTTGATGCTATAACCCGCGATGTATTGTATGTTTTAGTCTGCAGGCTAACTGCATTCAACATATCGTCCAACCTCGTCCCCAGGGCTTCTCCCGGTTTTTTAGGGAAAAGCCCTGGGGACGAGGTTGCGTTGGTTGAGGTTACCCATTCGTTGTAAGTTGAGAGGATGTAACGAGTAGTTCGACTGAAGATATAAAGCGGTTTCTTCGCGTTACTCGTAGGGCTAGTTTGGTGAACGTTTTCTTGCGTTAACTTCCTGCTCTATGCTACAACCTTGGGATATGTGGATCTATAAAGTGTGAGGAGGTAGTATAGATACCGCAACCAAGGTTTAACACTGCTCTATTCGCCCTGAAACCTGTCAACAATATAATGCTTCCCCTCGCTCTGTCATTTCACTGTCTCAGATGTGAACCACGGAGACTGCACTGCAATGAACCACTGCAATGAGCTGAGCAGTGTTAGTCTTTGTTCACACTATTCCGGATAGCTCTTATGTCGACAAGAAAACCATGCCAGGTGGGGCTTCTGTTCACATATAAGAACGTGATTTCGGAGCGATTTCTGTAACGAAGAGAGTCTGCGTGCGCGGCGCCGCGCCGATCGTGAAATTGGATCGTCACATATCGGAGAGGTTTCTTCGTATTTGCGTGAACAGGTATTCACACCTTGACGGAATAAAATGAGCAGGAGCGAGGACTAGAACACACTGAGAGGGAAGTGAATATTCAGAAATGAGTGAGGATTGGGAAATAGTGCACCAGACCCTCTCGGCCAACCTCTCCGGTGACGATGTTCGATTTGTGTGGAGAACTTGTTCCAGTTCTATGCAGTTGCCGTCATACTGTGCGGTACCGGAAAGGTTTTTTTCGTCTGTGCATAAAGCTCTTCGGTTTTTAAATTCACAAGGAAAAGCATTGTACCAAGTGTTTGTCAAAAAAGATGAACAGCGGTTAACAATCCAATCAACGGACACATCATGTAGTTTGCTGTTACAAAAGTCGACTTGTTACAAGCGTTTGTATTACAACAATTCACTTTACACCACTGACCATGACGAACGCACTCTTCTCCATTACAAAAGTCAAGTTCACCGCAACCCTTTTGATAATGATGAATTTCCGATCCATTATGACTACTCACTCTGTGAGTGGTGTAGCAGACTGTACTAAAGGGTGGACAGGAATAAATTTGTTCGTTTTCAGCGCTGCAGTCTTCCCAGGACTTTTCCGAGTAGCAAATGTGACAATATAAAGCTGCACCTATTAAAAAAATAATGGTGAAACTCAAGTCATTGTCTTGTTCCGTACATTTTACCATATGAACTTGGGCTTCTGGATGCAATTCGTTGTCGGAAGAAACCTATTACAGTAAAACCCCAAAATTTAAGAACCTTTCAGGCTAAAAGTTTCATTTTAAGCACCCTCCTTCACATAAGAACCATTTCAGGCAGAAATTTCAAAGTAGGTTCTTAATTTCCAAAGTACAATAACATGTGTATAACTTAGCACTATTTTGTATGATTTCTGTGCACTCTACTATATTCCATGAACTAGTGAAAATTTAATATAAAAGGCCACGCCCACCAATACAAGTCCTTTTTTTCTTACCAAACATTAAGAACCCAATCTTTTTTTCTTACCAAAAATTAAGAACCTAGATAGCCTGACTGATAGCCTGACATGTTAAGTACCATTCATATAAGAACCTCCCACAATCATTACGCAAGAGATCGAGCCGAGATTTTTTACAAAACTAACAATGACAGCCTCAAAAAACCGTTCTTGAAATGTTCCTAAGGGAACTCTCTATCGACTCTCGACTGATACTCAAAAATGGAAAGACTGGGGAAAAGCCCTGGGCCTGGCCCTGAGCCCTGGGGACGAGGTTGGGTAGAGGAAGGAACCTCTGTTACTTCAAATATTGGCATTCTACCATTTTCCAACTTAAAAACATGAAAAAAATCGATTTTTTATTACCTGTAATGCATCATGACATATCCGAAATAGCGACCGATATGTAAACCGACCCTGTTCGCTACTCTAGGAAATACCATAATAATCTTTTTGTCCCCCCCCCCGCCCCCCCAAAGAAAAATTGTATCAGTTTCTCTTGGGACATAGGATCGTCTCAAGAGAAGCTGAAAACAATGGTTATGCAAACTTTTCTTGGGAAAAAACGATAATTACCGTAAATGATGGATTAAACGCCGCTCTCGAATAAGCGCCGCGGCGGCGCTCGATATAAAGAGATATCAAAACCATTTCGCTTGGGAAATAAGTCTCGACCAACTCGTAAGTTCTAAAAATTCTAACGTAGGGAATCTCTTGAAACTCGGTTTATATTGCTTACATGACGTCACTAAAATTCAAACTAAAAAACTATCGATCCTACCGAGATTTTACTTTCACGAAGCATGTTTCTGTTGGTTTCCGTCCGCCATGTTGGAGGTCATCCAGGTGAGCACCAGCATGGCGTCTCCATACAAATCTCTGTAAGTTTGGGTAAAACATTTCTTCGGATATCTTGTATACGAAATATTCCTCTGACCTAAATCTTAGCGAAGGTCTTTAAATATGTACCTCCTTTTATTTCCCAGATTCTGGACTTTATCCATTGAAAGGTTTTGATTTTTATTTTGATCTATTTTAAATGGCGTGACACTGAAAACCAGCAATAACAGTTCGAGATGTACATATTTTAGACTAAATTGAGCATACCCCCGGGGGGGGGGCACTCCCATACATTACCTATACGGGTATGTGCCGCCCAACGGGGTCGTGATTTTGAAGCTTTTCAAGCATCGCGTGTGATAGTGACATGTAATATCAAAACATGTCGCGTTGATCTCTCTACTCTTCTTTTTAAAAAGCGTTTGACAATGGTTTTTTATGTATGATTTAGAAAAAAAATTTGCAATAAGAATTACTACGGCTGTAAACAGTTGTTGGCTATTTTTCCTCCCTTTTTCAAACATTAACAACGCGGCATGTTTTGATATTACATGTCACTATCACACGCGATGCTTGACTTCCGCGACCCCGTAGTGCAATGTGAGAAGTGAAAAATCAGTTATTGTGCCTAGTAGGCTAAATGCTCCAATTGTCCTTTGACGGTTGAACAATTTGACCCTGCCAGCCCGCGTCGGTTTGAACACAGGCAGACCACCCTCTGTTAGTGGGGGCCGTTGTTGATTGAAATCTGAGCAACGATCTTTTGTTATTTATAGAAGAAATACATATGAACAATACGGTGGCTATAATTTGTTCCAAAATGCAGAATTTAAAGCAAATTTTTCAATAAAAGTTTGAAGAAAATGTTAACTGAGTCATGTGTCTGTTTTTTTCGCCGTCCCGTGCTGTTTTAAGCGCTATTTTGCGAGATGAATATTTGACCTCGGCGGTTAGAACTAAAGAAGGAGACAAGGCAGGCAGCAATCAGCCGCCGGCG